GCTCTGATATAAAACATTCTACATCTCTTTCCTGTTTGCCTTTGTGTTCAACAACAGTGCCCAGTGGTTTCGCTTTCCACATTTCTTATTTGTTTCTCCACTTTTGTCTGAAGATTGACACCTTCTTGCCCAGTGGTTTCGCTTTCCACATTTCTTATTTGTTTCTCCACTTTTGGCTGAAGATTGACACCTTCTTGCCCAGTGGTTTCGCTTTCCACATTTCTTGCATATTTGGCCAAAAGCTGGACACGTTCTTGGCTGGTGAGTTAAACCACAATTTCTGCATTCCTTGTGTGGTTTTGACTTGTCGTCATTTGACAGGTCCCAACTATTGAATTTACGCAATCTTTCTTCCCCTGTTGCCAGCAAGATATTAGCAGCCTTTTCTTCGTCTTTCACATTTTTCACGGCGAAATAAAGCTCTATACGATGTTTGAATAAACTGAATGACTCTGTTAGCTTATCAGATTCCCAGGTCATGGTAGGGAGATTATCAGCCATGTTTGTTTTGTCTGGATCAGAACTTGCAAATGTTTGTGAGTCAGAAGTCAACTTACGCCAGTTTTCAGCTACTTGGGTATCACTTTTTTCTAACTTGAACGTCTTGGGTCACCATGTTATGTTATTTATGCAGCATGAAGGTTTGAACTCATTTAATTCAAGTAAAACCACTCTGGTTTACAACGAGTGAAACTGACAGTAATGGCTGCCACCAACCTGGGTCATAGGTCATAACAGATGTAGTACTCTCTGTCAAGAGAGGGCGCACTACAGTTACTATTCATATGTGATATCATAACAGCAACCATCCCAAAATACCGTTTTATGAGAATTTATTGGCCTTTGTTTTCACCATGACGGTTGCCCGAACCAAGAATAAATGTCGCTGCGCACAGTGGAATCTGTGTTTGCTTGGATGTCCAGGCAATACAGCGACGATATCCATACATCATGTAACTCACAGATATTCAAGCTATACTTAGTGCCGAGTCTGATGTGTTCGTTTTTAGTAGCACTAGAAATAGTAAATCATTGTGTTATTATGCTTTATCGAGCGTGGTAATAGTGTTGACACCACTGTTGAGCATTATAGAAGAGTTGGTGTTATACCTCAAAGCTCATGTCACTGCAACATAAATTAGACATAAGACATCAGAAATTCAAAGCTCCAAGCGCTTTCTGACAATCATTGTAACAAAGCTTTTTATTGGTCGATAAATTCTCTATCGCGCAACCACATGACATACACGGTTATGAATAAAATTACCGCACGGTTTTGTAGAGGGGGGAATCATGTCCTAACGGAACAACACCGTACAGGCGGACGATTGTTCTATGTTACTCGGTTTTTAATCATTTTTTTTTTGTATTTACTCAAAAAAAGAAATATTTAACTACGCTAGAAATGTATATTCTATGTAACTGATTTCACCAATTTTACTTCTTTTATGTGATAAACTTAGTTAGTATGCAAAAACACCGTGTATTTATTAACTTAAGCAGTGTGAATGTATGTGCGTGTGTGAGAGCGCCCTTTATCGTTCAATAATACAATTCATGCCGGGTGTGACGTCATTGCCCGGTCGATTGGGGAAATAATATGATAGTTTATGCTAATTTAACCTAATTTACTCACAACGTCTTGCTTCAATTTTAAAATTTTAATTTATGCAAATTTATTCACGCAATCCTATTGTGACGTCATAATTATTTAAATTCCAGTTCATGGTAATTTATGTGAATTTATGCACATACCCCATTGTGATGTCATAATTTAAGCTAATTTATGCATATTATATTGTGCCGTCATGATTTATGCGTACTCTATTACGGCGTCATAATCTATGCTAATTTATGTATTTTTTGTGACACCAAATGACGTCATAATTGGTGTTAATGTATGCACGGATTCTATTGTGACGTCTTAATTATTCAAGTCTACCTATAGTGTGCCCTTAACTAAGACCTGTCATCGATGACACGTGCGGTATTAACATTTTGTCTGACCATGAAAAGCTTTGAAAACCCAGTCTTGCCGTACATTGCACCCTTTGTAATTTAGAAATTTGCTTATTTGTGATCAAATACAATAACCCAATCTAGATTCCACGCGAGTATATACAATAATCTCAGTACCTTTGATGGACAGGCATTTTTTTTAATCTAGAAACTTCCACTCTATTGATAAAATGGTGATTTGCAAATGGAACTAACATAACATGACTCGCGTCGACTTCATTACTGACAAGAATAATGGTATCATATACATCAATAAAACTAACCCTTAGCCTGTTTAGTTGAGGGTTGCGCCATTGTCACTTTGTTGTCGTACATCCAATCGTTCAATTCACGTAGTAGAATTGTATGTAATCTGAACCCGAATGAAACGAAACATATTCCAGGGTATCATTCATGTGTATATACGTAATATGATGCTTGATTGATTAGTAAGTGTTGGTAGGAGGCTGCCATCCAAACAATGTTTTAGATTTTCCTGTCGTTCACACAATAATTTTATTTTATGCTGTCGTTTACAAAATCCATATATATTGTCACCAAGTAAACAAATCTTTGTCAAAATCAAATACTATTTGAAACAAGAAATCGTGATAAATAATTATTAAGTAGTCAAATAAACACTTATTGATCATCTATAACCATCTAACTACCACTTTGCACTTGTTGTAAAACAGATTCCGTGCTACAATATATATTGTATGCGGACTGAAACATTCCCCCGTTGAATGCACCGTAATATTGTTGAAATCAGATTAAAATCAGGTTTCTCCAACAATAGCAAAACAATTGACTATTTGCACACAGTTGGGAACGCGCCATTGAACAATGATGAATTACATTTTGTGATTATAAATAATGCATGTCAACGATAATAATCAGTCACTTTGATCACACATAGTGTGTTGACATTCTGGTTGGGAAGGGGTCAAAAACACGTGATTAAATGAGTGTGGTCCCGATAAGATTAATGACACCATTATTTGGTAATAGATAAAATCAGTATGACCATTTTGTAACTGACACTGAAATTTGACATAAGATTTAGTCGCTTGGATACTTCATTCCTGAATAACCCACTT